GGCTCACTGCCCCCCAGAATGGACCCAGCTGAGGGGTCCCGTTCTCTGCACCTGCAAGCTCTGTTTTAGACCATGTTCCTGTCGTCTAATAAACCTTCTGTTTTACTGGCTGGCTGAGAGTCACGTCTGACTGCGAAGTTGGGGTGCAGGACCCTCTGGCTTCCCCAGGAGCACCGCCTGAGCGGACTCGCTGTGGGAAGCGCACGGAGAGGCAGAGGATGCTGAATGCTCCGAGGTCAGACCCAGGAAGGTGGAAGCTGTGTGAGCTGTGTGTCCTGAAGACAGGCTGCTCACAGAAAGGCGACTACCCCAGAGTCCTGACTGACTTCATGGGGAGCAGTTCCAGAGCATCGCCCAGGAACTCCGTGACATGGGGTCCTCCCTCTTTCGTGCAGGCGAGCTGTGCTCGCCTTACTGCTGAAGAAAGGGGACATCTGCGATTTACGAAGTTGGCGTCCCGTCTCGCTCCTCAGCACAGACTACAAAATCGTAGCGAAAGCAATCTTGCTGCGACTAGGGTCTGTGCTGGCAGACGTGATCCACCCAGACCAGACCTACACCGTCCCGGACCGCAGTATCTTTGATAACCTATTTCTGGTTCGGGACCTTTTGGAACTCAGGTGTAGAGATGGTCTGTCGTTCGCCCTCCTGTCCCTAGATCAGGAGAAGGCGTTCGATAGGGTGGACCACGGGTACCTCCTGAACACTCTGCGAGCATTTGGCTTTGGACCCCAGTTTGTGGGTTTTCTCCGGGTGCTGTACACCTCCGCAGAGTGTCTGGTTAAGCTCAACTGGACCCTGACCGAACCGGTCAGCTTCGGGCGAGGAGTACGGCAGGGGTGCCCCCTCTCGGGCCAGCTGTACGCTCTGGCGATTGAGCCCTTTCTCTGCCTCCTCCGCAGGAGGTTGACAGGGTTGGTGCTGTGGGAGCCGGAGCTGCGGCTGGTCCTGTCGGCGTATGCTGATGACGTGCTCCTCGTGGTCCAGGACTCGGGCGACTTGGCACGGGTGGAGGCTTGCCAGGCCATCTATTCGGCAGCCTCCTCTGCCCGGGTCAACTGGGTCAAGAGCTCTGGCCTGGCGGTAGGAGACTGGTGACAAGCGAGCTCCCTCCCACCCGCGCTTCAGACCATCCGGTGGAGCGCGGGTCCGCTGCTCTACCTTGGCGTTTACCTTTCTGCCATGCATCCCTCTCCGCTGGAGAACTGGGAAAATTTAGAGGGTGGGGTGATAGAGCGGCTCTGGAAATGGACGGGACTACTCCGATGTCTCTCCCTTCGTGGGAGAGCACTGGTGCTTAATCAACTAGTCCTGTCCATGCTCTGGTACCGGCTCAACACCCTGGCTCCAGCCCCGGGTTTCCTGACCAACCTCTGGACATCGATTCTGGGGTTCTTTTGGTCAGGAATGCACTGGGCCCCTGTAGGGGTTCTTCATCTACCCCTGAAGGCAGGAGGACAGGGCCTGAAGTGTCTGCGCACTCAGGTCTGCGTCTTCCACCTCCAGGCCCTGCAGAGGCTCCTTTATAGTGCAGGCAGTTCGGCGTGGAGCACACTGGTGCACACCATCCTGCGCCGCATCCGAGGGCTCCGATATGAACGGCAGCTCTTTTATCTCTATCCGGGAGGTCTTCCGTGAGACCTCTCCGGGCTGCCGGTCTTCTACCAGGACCTCCTCCAGACTTGGAAACAGTTTTTAACGACCAGGTCCGTGGCGGCCACCGAGGGGGCAGATCTCCTCGTGGAGCCCCTGCTACACAACCCCCAGCTCCGTGTGCAGGTGGCGGAATCCCGCTTGGTGTGCCAGAGCTTGATCCTGGCAGAAGTCACGAGAGTCGGAGACCTCCTGGACTACGACTGGGGAGACTGGCTGGATCCCTGATGCTCGCTCGGCGCATGGGGCTCTCCAGACCTCGTACCCCCCGGCGTGTACTTCAGGAGGTGAAGGCTGCTTTGCCGCCCGCTGCTAGAGCTTACCTCGATCGGATCCTGCTCGAGGGCACGCCCCGCCCACCCTCTACCCCAGGCCCTCCGGACCTTTTAATTGGACCCCTGCCCCGTAGACACAATCGACCCCCTCACCCCTTTATGGCGAGCCGGCTGCATGAACTGCAGCCGGTATGCTTCCAAACCGCGCCAAGGAAACATCTATACACGCTCGTGCTCCACACCCTTCACGCCCTCACCCTAGTGTCCCGCCTCGACACAAAGTGGCGAGACCTACTGCCCCCTTTGGAGGGTGAGCAGCCCCGGTGGGCCAGCCTATATTCCACCTTGGTTCCGAGGCCCGTCGGGGACATCAATTGGCGGCTCCTTCACGGAGCTGTGAGCACGGGCACGTACTTGGCACGGTTCAACCCCATCCCAGACACTTGTCCCTTTTGCAGTGTGAGGGAAACCCTGGCGCACGTATATTTGGAGTGCGCCAGGCTGTAGCCCCTGTTCCGGCTCCTCACAAATCTTTTATTACGTTTTTGGTTGCATATTTCCCCTCACCTTTTTATTTATGCACTCCCCATCCCTGGCCTCACAAAGTCGCGGGATCTCCTAGTTAACCTCCTGCTGGCCCTGGCTAAAACGGCCAATCTATAAAACCAGAGAGAGGAGGTTGGCCGACGGAGTTTCCTGTGACTGTGGGGCCATTTTCTGATCCTCGGTCCATTCACGTATCCGGGCGGAGTTCCTCTGGGCGACATCCACCAACTCCCTTGATGCTTTTGAGGAGCGGTGGGCGCTGTCCGAGGCTCTCTGCTCGGTGTCCCTGTCCGGCTCCCTTTGTTTTGACCCTTTGATTGGAGGAAAGAGTAAGGGACCCCAGCCCCAGCCATTGCTGCTGCAGACACCACCACCTTAGAGGGGTCCTTTCACACGTTGGTGCACGTGCCCCTCCCCCCGGGTTGTCCACCCTACAGCCTGCCCCTTTTGTTGGGTGCTTTCAGAGGAGGGAATTGTTGGTGACACTCGGGCTTGACGCCAAGTAACTCGAGGGGGTGGCAGACCTTGAGAGTCAATGAAGCCCCCTCGCTCTGGACCACCAGGTAACTCGGAAGGGTGGAAGACCACGAGAGTCAAGGAAGACCCCGCTCTGGGCCCAGGCAAGCTCGAACACTTCCCTCCCCTGAAGCTAATGAGAAAACAATTGTGATTGATTGCTGTGTTACACATTGGATATGCTGTTGTTTTGTTTTGTAAGTGTGTTATGCAAATAAAAAAACCCACCTTTTTTGCTTCAAAAAAAAAATTACTCTCCTATAGCCATCTGGCCCGACTCTGTCACAGGATACAGACTGTTGCACAGCTGTTAAAGATGGTATAGATTGGAGAGGATTATTGTCCACTTGCTAGAGCAATGCGTTGGAAGTCAGGACTCCTGGCTTCTGTTCTCGGCTCCGCCACTGACTTGCCATGTGACCTTGAGCAAGTCGCTTCACCTCTCTCTGCTTGGTTTTCCCATCTGCCAATAACAACACTGAGTGCTGGGAAGCACAATTCATTGATGTTTCTAAAGCTCTTTGGGACTCTTGGATGGACGGTACTATAGAAGGCCAAAGTCTTGTTACAACAGTGTATTGGTTCCCTCATACAAACAAACTGAGACATTTCACATGGGACTCTACAACTTGAGCTGTCCCTGTTCTCGCTCCAGCTTTAAAGGGGAAAGGATTCCCTCCCCACCAGCATTTTGTTGCTAAACCCTGGAACCTGTCTCTTGCAGACTGGGCTGGTGGCATGCTGTGGAGGCATCTGTTGATGCAATGTGTCCCCATATCCTCTAGCTGTTGCCAAAACGGTGCCAAGGAACTGTATTCAGTGCTGTCTGGCAGGAGAGAGGGGTGCCATGCTACAGGAACCCTTTGAGATTTGGAGAAGTAAAGGGGCAGGATCCTCAGGATTCCCCATGCCAAGGATATCCTGGACCAATAAGGTGCAACTTTGAGATGTAGAGGGGGGATGTACTAGCTTTAAATTCTCTAAGTTGCTTATTTGACCCATTATTTCAGAGGGACCAAGGGCCTGGCCCTCCACACAGCAAGCCTACTGTGACTGAGTGTTCCTTTAGGGCTGATTGTGCTGGGGCAGGGAGCATCTGGCCTGTGCGGAGCTGCCTAGGAGTAATGCCCTGGATTTGTGGGCACACAGCTCTGAGCAGCCTCTCTGGGTATCCAGAGGAGGGGACAGGCATTGCAGCACTGCAGTTTCGCTCTAACTCTGCCTCATGCCTTCCCTGGAAGATGCTGGCTGAGGGGTTTTTTTTCACTGCAATCCTAGACTCAGGGAAAAACAGATTTGCAGCAAGAGAGTTTTCTGCCAAGGTGTGTGTGTGTGTGTGTGTGTGTGTGTTGGGGGAGGGGGGGCGCGGAAGTTATGAAATGAAACAAAGAGCCTCATGCAGCATTTTCCTCGGCTGCAGTCTCCAATATCTTGCAGTCTAATGATTCTAGGGCCCTCTTCCATCTCCTGCCTCTCATTAGGGATGCAACACTGTATCTCTTTTAATAGCATTAGTGTCTGGATCGCTCTCGACAGGAGGTGACCTCAAAGATTTATTAACCTCTTAATAAACCACGCCAGGGCTTGGCTTGCCATTTTGGTTTCTGGATTGCTTCTGTTTCAAAGGGGAGGTGCTCTCGCACTGCACTCTACCTCTCCTGCACAAACAGGACTGCTGAACTCATTGCTTCTGTTTAATAGTAGACCTAGGACAAGGCTAGGACTGGTTTAGCTGGGAGCTCCCACAGCACCTCCTGCTGGGTCAAGCTGGAACTGTTCTCCCACATTCAGTGCTCCTACAGCATCCCTTCAGCACCTCCCGCTGGCTGAGACTGAGTCTGGGATGGTATGCGTCCTTGTGCTGCCAATGCGCCTATGTGATTCTGCTAGGAGAATCTGGAGCCGTAGTAGTTGTGAAGTCTCTCTCTCCATGCCCCCCAGGATGGTTCTTAATTTCACTCTGCCGGCGCAGTGTTATTGTAATGATGCCATGTCTTCTTGTCTTTCCAGGCTCATCCTTCCGTACGTATCAAAGGAACAGAACACAGCTACAGCCCAGTCCTGTGCCAAGATGACCAGTGCACTGCCAATGTCAAAGGGAGGCACACCCACTGTCCATTCTGCAGCATTTCGGAGGCTTATCAGGACCCGTTCATTCTCCAGGCTCACTACCGGGTCAAACACGTGGACAAGGGGCTTGACTTTGCAGGTAAGATGCCACTTTGAAATGGTTGGACAGCTGGCCTGGTTGGATTGGAACTTCTCCAGATGCTCCTGTACTCTCTGCAGAAATTGCCCACAGAATTGCCCACAGTGATCCTTAACTCACAACAGATATCCCTAGACTTCCCATAGCTCTGCGTATGGTGGGGAACAGGCTGATTCCCCAGCAGTGGATGCATACACTCAGGTAGTGGCTAATGAGAATGAGATATAAAACTTAGGTTGCCAGTTTGGATGCAGCCCACGTTCGGGGCAGGCCGGGGTGAAAGTGGGCCGGTACGGGCCAGGACCGTGTACTGGTAAGAACCCGCACCAGCCCGTGCGCAGCCCACATTAAAGCGCTGCAGGGTCCTTTGCGTGGCAGCAGCTGTAACGTTGCTGTGCCCCACGCCCCGTCAGTGGCCCTGCTGGGAGGGCAGGCGCTGGGAGGGCCTCTGATGGGGGGGGGCAGCAACGTTACAGCTGCTGCAGCAAAGGGCCCTGCAGCGCTTTAACTTCCCTGCCCCTTTTGCCCCCCCCCCTCGGCCACCAACGGGTCGGGGGGTGCGAAGGGAGCCGCTGCCCTGGGCCCTTTAAATCGCCACTGGAGCCCCGGGCGGTGCGGGCCAGGTGGCCTGGAAGGGCTGGCTGGGGGATGCTGACACCCAGCCCCATCCCTTCCGCCCAAGCCCCCACCTCTTCCGGGGGCTGGAGCCGGCCCCAGCCCCTTACCCGTAAGTATCCAGAGTTACTTTCACCCTTGGGGGCAGCAGAGACTGAAGGGTTGGTACTGTCTGATGCCTGTTCAGTGGCCCATGAGAAATTAGCTAGTAGGTCAGTGGACAGGTGCCTGTGTCATAGAAACCACTGCCACAGCTGGCTCTCATTTGTCAAAGTGCACAGTATTCAACAGCTTGGGACTGGAAGTGAAGGAGAGCCCCGGATTCATCTGAAACTGCAGGGTGAATTTTAGAGAGGCAGAATATAATTATCTAGGTTAGAATCTGGTCAGGACACCTGGGCTCACGCCCTGGACCTTGCAAAAGGTGCCTGGGGATTTTTACTGACCACTAACGGGGACGGCGTGTGGCTGTACCTCTCACCTGCACTGTCAGGGAGATGGACTGGGGGAGTCAGTAAATAGCTCTGTTGCCTTCCAGCAGCCTTGCTCTTCCAAACACCAAGGTGGGACAGTGTTCCTGCAGGGGGAAGAGCGCCACCTACTGACTCAGCAACAGCATTACCTGCACCACCTAGTTTTCCCCTAAGAGTAGCCATGCATCAATGGCCTGAGCGGAACCGGCTTAGAGCTGGAGGTAGAATTACTGCAGACTCCCTTAAAAATGCTCCAACCTGAAGGAAAATATGCTCCAGATTCAGGTCTCAGCTTTGGAACTAAAATGAGAGGATGATGTTTGCTAAATGGAAAAAGGACTGAGGAAAACCTTTGATTTTACAGTTTCTCAGGAGGTTTTACAAACAATGGAAAGTGTATGCGCACGTGTGTGTATTAAAAACTACGGAGACAGATTTGACAGAGTCCCTTTAAGCAAGCTGCCCATAGTGAAAGTCGCATGCAAGTGAAAGGTGTGTAAAAGTTGGGTTCAAATACTGAATGCACTTACGTGCATAGATGTGTGGTCGGGTCTGTGAAAGGCTGCATATCTTCCATCTCCAAGGAATGGGCTCAAGCAGAAAAGAGCAGCATCTTATAGGCCTGGTCTGCACTACAAACTTAGCGTGTTAAGTTGCGTTAAGTAGCGACATAAGCGCGTTAAGTTGATCTAAGAATGTCTGTATCTACACTACCGAGTCCCTTCCGCCAACCTAAGTGGTCTGTAATGTCGACTTCTGTACTCCACCTCCGCGAGAGGCGTAGCGCTTGATTTGACATCCACGGGTGAACATGGGGATAGTGTAGACACTGTGCTGTGCAATTCGAATGAATTGGCCTTCAGGAGGTGTCCCACATCAATGGTTATTTTGCAGTCTGGAAAGAAAGTCCCTGCTTGCAGCTTTCTGAACAGATCGGTGTTTCTGAAGATACATATGTCATGCATCTTTCCCAACCATCCCAAGTTGATGTCGGTGAAATGGACCCTGTGATCCACCAGTGCTTGCAACGCTATTGAGAAGTACCCCTTTCGGTTTATGTACTCTTTGGCAAGGTGGTCTGGTTCCAAGATAGGGATATGTGTTCTGTCGTCCATTACAGAAAAACCATCCACTATGTCCTGCATGTTGCTCAGTGTCAATACCCTTCTTAGCAAAAGTCTGTTGATGGCCCTGCAAACTTGGATCACAACAGATCCTACGGTAGATTTACCCACTCCAAATTTCAGAGTAGCAACCGTGTTAGTCTGTATTCGCAAAAAGAAAAGGAGTACTTGTGGCACCTTAGAGACTAACCAATTTATTTGAGCATGAGCTTTCGTGATCTTATGCTCAAATAAATTGGTTAGTCTCTAAGGTGCCACTAGTACTCCTTTTCTCTTTCCTCTCCAAATTGATGCCCCACTGACTGGTAGCAGTCTGGCATTGCAAGCTTCCACAGAGCTATCGCCACTAGCTTCTCCACTGTCAGAGCAGCTCTCATTTTAGTATTTCTGCGCTTCAGGGATGGGGAAAGCTCTTTGCACAGTTCCTGGAAAGTGGCCTTGCACATTCGAAAGTTCTGCAGTCACCGCTCATCATCCCATAGCTGCATAACTATGCTGTCCCATCAGTCAGTGCTGGTTTTCCAGGCCCAGAAGCAGTGCTCCACCGTGTCAAGGTGATGCGTGACTGTTGCCAGCAACTGCGAATTGCTCAGCTCTATGTCTTCCAGCAGAGCTGTTTGCATGGCATTACATTGTTCTGTGCAGCGGCTCCTGTATTGGCTGTTTAAATACCTGCAGGATAAGGCGCAAGGTGTTTGTAATGCTCACAACAACAGTGTACAGCTGAGTAGGGTCCATGCTTATTGTGCTATAGCAGGGGTGGGCAAACATCGGCCCACAGGCTGGATCTAGCCCGCCAGCCATTTTAATCTGGCCCTCGAGCTCCTGCTGGGGAGCAGGGATTGGGGCTTGCCCTGCTCCAGCTGGGGAGCAGGGTCAGGAGCCGCGCCATGCATCTCCTGGAAGCAGCTGCATGCCCCCCCCCCCCCCCGCATCTGGTTCCTACGCGTTGAGGCAGCCAGGACCCTCTGCTCTGCACGCTGCCTCTGCAGCTCCCATTGGCCAGGAACCGCAGCCAATGGGAGCTGCAGGGGCGGTGTCTGCAGACAGGGCAGCATGCAGAGCCGCCTGGGTGTACCTCAGCGTAGGTGCTGGAGAAGGGGCATGTTGCTGCTTCTGGGAGCTGCTTGAGTTAAGCGCCGCCCTGAGCCAATGAACATAGTGTGGACATGCAAGATCGACTTGCTTAAATCGGAGGTTCAATGTCAACTTACATGAAGTTGATTTAACTTTGTAGTGTAGACATGGCCATAGTCTTGGCTGGGGACAGAGGTGGTGCTTCATGTGAGGTCTGCTGGCCGTTAACACTGATCAGCCAGGATGTTGTTTTTGTTCCTGCTCTTCTGCTGTAAATGTGAAGGAAGCTGCCTTTTTTCAGCAAAAAAGGACAATGCTTTAGACTGGTTTGACTCCATTGGATCCGCATTCTGAGCACACAGAGGGGAGGGACAAATGTTTGCCACCTGTGGGCCCCTAGGTTCTGCAGCTGGCTGGAGACTGCTTCAGTCCCCAGCATAATTTAGAGCCGTTTGATGACTGCTTGATTTTACACCTGGCTACATATGGCCCCAAGGCAGTTGAAAATAGCTTGAAACACAGAGGCGCTGCAATCATGCCCCATTTCATTTGGCTACAGCCCTGCACTCTGGGGATGGGTGTAGTGTCGCTGCACTGGCCTCCCAGAGAGTCACCTCACTAAAAGGGAGTTCCCAGGTAGCCGATAACGCCAGTTTTCTAGTGGCTTGGTGCCAGCAGTACTGGAGACCAGAATCTGCCCCACCATCTTTGACTGAGGGACTCCTAACGTAAACCTGCATGCATGAGATCAGGTGCAGATTCTTTTTTGCTTCCACTGGATCGAATTATTGTATTGTACTGTACATGGCCCACTATTTTGTAAGGAAAGATTTTGTCAACATGGCTCTGTGGCCACTCCCTAATCCCATTACAAAGCAGTTGCTAGCCAGTCACATGACCCTTTGATTAGCTTTTATAAATAGATTTGCTGTTTAAAGAGCAGCAGGTTTAAGCAAGCAAGGCAACCCCCACCCTACCCGCCCCCACTCACACAGGCACACCGCTCACATCAGGAAGGACACAGCAGAGAAGAAATCTGTGGGGTCATGCCACCTAATATAGGTTAACCTGGCCAACTTCCTATGTGCATCATTACATTCTGCTCACCCAGACTCCACACTGCAGTTTCAGCTGGATATACCGGCAGAACATTTCTTTACCAAAGATGATTTGAAGCATCTGGTGCTGCCCATAGTTGGAGGTTGGATATGAGACTAAATGGACCTTGGGTCTGATCCAATCTGGCAGTTCTTGTGGTTTTTATTATTCCTACTGTTGGCACTCATGTAGAGCCTTTCCTTTCTCTAGTACCTTCTTCAATTGCTTATAGATCACAAGGTGATACTATTGGGGTTTTTATTGCATGTGTCCATTTGGCTGTACAGCACCCTGAAAGCTGCTTTAGAAACATTGGCATTGTTTCACCTCAGGTGAAATTCACCTCTGTGCAGAGGGGCCACACAGCCTCCATGCACCACAGAAGTCCTACATAAGCCCACAGACGTGAGTCGGAAGTGGCTCATAGTGATTGTGTGAAGCATTGGAACAGAGGTGAATTTCACTCTTCTAGACCAGTGGTTCTCAAACTGTGGGTCAGGACCCCATTTGAATTGGGTCACCAGGGCTGGCTTAGACTTGCTGGGGCCCAGGGATGAAGCCCAAGCCCCACTACTCAGGGCCAAAGCCAAAGCCCGAGGGCTTCAGCCCTGGG